GTTATGGCCCCCCATGCAAATTTTGGATTGTGCAAAGTGAATTTTAATACCCACGGAGCTGAGAGAACTCCATGGGGGAGCCCTGGCAGTGGTATTGAGAAGAGGGGGCAAGATTTGGGAGGTGACAGAGGGCCACACCAAGAGACCAGAAGTCTGGATGTTCATCACGTGGCCAAGTCTGATGGCCAAGGACATGGGCTGTGGAGGGAAAAGAGCCAGAGCCTCCCATGGAAATATGTCAAGCCCAGCAGCCATTTAATTAGGAGCATTGACAGCAACATCCAGATTTGCAACAGAAAATCAAGTTTTGGACCCCAAATCTTTGGGGGTTTTCAGCCAAAAGTACCATCTTTCCTCAGCCTTGAGGCTATATTACTGCTATCACCAGCATTTCTCCTGGGAGAGCTGTTCCCACATCCCTGGTGTGTCGGGAGGGGTGGGAAGGGCAGAGCCAGCAGCTGTGGGGCAGGAGAGGCCCCTCGATGGCAGGTGGCAGCAGGGGACCTGCCTGTCCCAGCCCTCTCCGTGGCTGGGGCAGGTGCCATGGCCTCAGCTTCTTGTTTCTCTCTTCCAGCAGCATATCCCACTGCCTACGCTCCCATCAGCCAAGCCTTTCCCCAGCAAGCGCCCCTCATCCCGCAGCAGCAGAGAGAAGGTGAGGGGTGGGGGTCACCCCATGTGGGGCCAGTGGCTCCTCGGTGTCCCCCAGGGTGGCCCCACCTCGTAGCTGACGTGTCCTGTCCTTTGTGTGTCACCCAGGTCCCGAGGGCTGTAACCTGTTTATTTATCACCTGCCCCAGGAGTTCGGGGATGCGGAGCTCACGCAGATGTTTTTGCCTTTCGGCAACGTCATCTCTGCCAAAGTCTTTGTGGACCGTGCCACCAACCAGAGTAAATGCTTTGGTAAGTCCCAGGGTGTGTCTCTCCCTGGTGTCCCAGCTCAGGGCTCCAGCTCTTCCCAGTCCCCAGTTCAAGGTTCCAGCTACTCTTAACATTGCAGCTTGGAGCTCTGGCTCTTCCTCAACATCCCAGCTCAGGGGTCTGGCTCTCTTCAGCATCCCATTTTAAATAGCTGATGCTCCTTGACATCCCAGCTCTTGCCAGTCTCCAGCTCCAGAGTCCCATTCTTTCTGGTCTCCAAGCTGGAGGTCCAGCTCTCCTAATATTCCAGCTCAGGGGGTCTGTCTCTCCCCAAATCTCAGCTCAAGGGTTTGGCTCTCCCCAGTCTTCCCAGCTCGGGAGTCTGGCTCTTCTGGACAACCCAGAGCATCTTCATCTTAGGTGTCCAACTCTCCCTGAAGTCCCTGCTTGAGAGTCTGTCTCTCCAACATCTCATCTTGGGGATTTCTCTTTCCCTAGTCTCTCACATGCCCATGTCTCCCTGCTGTCCCTTGCTTAGGGTCCAACTCTCCCTATGTCCCCTGCTCAGGATCTGTATCTCCCTCTCAGAGACCTCAGTGTCCCCATAGACTCTTTCACTGTGGTGTCTTTAGAGGCCCTATCACCTCAGGGTCTCTGCAGACCTGGCCTACAGATGTCCCCTGAGCCCACACATCCCATCCTGGTGTCCCCACAGACCCCATCACCTCAGTGTCCCTGCAGCCCCTATCACTTTAACAGACCCTGTCGCCCCAGTGACCCCACAAATCCCATCCCATAGTATTCCTGCAGACAACTCCAGTGTCCTGTGGACCCTCTTATGATGCTGTCCTCACAGCCTTGTCAGCTGAGTATCCTTGCAGACCCCGGTGTCCCTGCAGGTGCCATCACCTGTCACCCAGTCCCCTGCAATCCGGGGCTGTGATGTTACCCAAGGACCCCCTCTCCCAGCACTCCCAAACCCGGGGCATCCCACAGGATTTCATGCCTGGCTTGAGGCAAGGCAGCCACCTGTGATGTGTGTGGTGACAAGCCCCCGTGTCCCCTCCCTGCCAGGTTTCGTCAGTTTTGACAATCCGACGAGTGCTCAGGCGGCCATTCAGGCCATGAATGGCTTCCAGATCGGCATGAAGAGGCTAAAAGTGCAGCTAAAGCGGCCGAAAGACGCCAACAGACCCTACTGACCCCAGCTCAGCCTGCGGAGAGGTGAGGGGCCTGGCCCTGGGGACGTGGCGGTCACGGAGCATCCCACCGTCCCTGTGTTACATCCCGAGTGTGTGCAGGGATCTCTGCCTGGCACCAGCCACCCAATGGATGTGGGTGCCTCCCTCCATCCCCCAGAAGCAGGCTGACAGCCCTTTCCTTCTGTTCCAGGTCGGACGTCCCGCAGTGTCTGACGACTTTCCCCTTCCCCAAGTGCAGTATCCAAACCCGTAACTCTCTTTCTTTGCAACACATCCCGGAGGAGGAAAAGGAGGAGGAGGAGGAGGTGAAGGAGAAAACGGCAAAGAAGAGAGCGTTTTGGTCGTAGCTTTTCCTTTTTGAATTTTTTCCCAAACTGGTCTTGTTTGTTGTTTAACGGGAATGAGAGGAAGACAAGGAAGGAGGGGAGCGATGCGGTGCCGGGGCTGCGATTCGCCGCCGGCCGCTCGCCGGGACTCACCGGATCCCTCACTGGGAGCAAGGCTGATGGCTCCGGGCAGCCGGGCCACGATCTACCTTTGTTTTTTGGGTTTTTTTTAAAGCACCCATTTGCTGCTACCGATTTCCCAGGAGAAACGAGGAAAAGAGGCTCCAAATGGATTCTTAAACCAAAGCCGGTGGGACGGGACCAGCCTCGGGCGCTTCACCTGGAGGATGTTTGTTTGGATGATAAAGAAAAACGGCAAGATTTTCCTTTTTCCCTGCATTGGGGGGAAAAAAAAGAAGGATCAAAGTATGTTGGACTTATAGAAGATATATATAAATAAGTATATATATATATATATCCCATGGAGCAGGGTGGCGGGACACGCGCTTCCCCTGCTTGTCACTGGCACAGGGACATAGGATTACTTGTTTCAGAGTCATATCATTCCTTAGAGTTTAGGGACCAAAGGACTATTGCTTTTTTTAAATATATCTATAAATAAATTAATTTAAAAAAAAACAAAACAAAACACACAAAAAAACTTCGGGAAAGGAGGAGAAAATCCAACAAAAATTAAGAAGGTTGAGTAAAACCCTCGGGCATTCAGAGCCACGAGCGTTTCCTACAGGGCTCGGATTTGGGGGGTTCAAGGGCTCGGTTTCGGGGGCCAGTTCGTGGCTGGGGATTGGGGGGATGCAGAGGGGATTTGTGGGAGGGACCTTCAGTGGCTCCCCCAGCTCCATGGCCCAGGGGGAGTTGGAGCTCCTCAGTCGCCTCTGGCAGAGGGTGGAGCGATGTGGTTCTTTGCATTTTGGGTTGGTTTGGGGGGATTTTTGGGTTGGGTTTTTTTTTTTTCAGCCAAAAAAACTTAAAAAAAAAAAAGAAAAATGTGAGGTTTCGGCCGAAATGAAGTGAAGCGAAATAAACTTATTTTGTCAAAATCGTCACCTTGGTTGGTTCTTTGGAGCAATTGCTGCCGCGTCCACCCCCAAACACAACACCCGGGCCCCCTTCATGGCCAGCTCAGCTCCAGCTGGGCTGGAGCATCCACCAGGATTTGGTGAAGCTGGGAGAGCACCATAGGCATCTCTTTTATTTGCTTTTTCACAGGAGTTGCTATTTTTTGGAGGAATTCACCCTGGCTGCAGAGGGAATCAGGACAGGATACAGCCCTGTGGTTTCACTGATCTTTCCAAGAGACATAGAGAGAGCTTCAGAGAGATGTGGCCATGTCCCATGAGATATCCCTTCGCACTTGTGGGTACAGCTGAGTGACTGCCAGGATCCCAGGAAAGTGACTTATTTTTTATTTGAGGAAAAAACCCCAAACCCCACAAATTTAAGCAACCCCTCCCCCCCCCCCCCCCAAGGGGTAGGTGGCAGGGCCAGGGGTGAGGGAATGGCCACCAGCCCAGGTTTGGGTGGCCCTTGGATACTTGGAGCAGCCAGTGTGGGACAAGTGGGGATAGCCAGATGTTGGGATCCAGGGGGGACAGAGGACAGGGACATGCCAGAAGTGACACTGAGTGAACCCACTGGTGTAATGAACCTGTCAGGACTCAGGTGGTGACTCTACCAAAACCAGGATAATTCTTAGATCTGTTCTTAAATTCCATCATAAATCCTGGCTGAAATCCTGGTCTGGTGCTGCTGTGACTGACCTGGAGAGCCCCTGGACTGTGGGGACAGCAGTGCCCAGCCCCTCTGCCCCCTGAGCCCTGGCAGCCTCTGGGATATCTCTCGTGGGTTTCCATCCAGGTTTGGCTGTAGCAGGATGCAGCTGTGCTGGCACTGCCTCCGTGTCCATGGAGTTATTGGGATGGGCTTGCGCTGAAACAAAATGCTGTCCCTGGGAAGTTCCTTCCCATTTGAATCTCTGCTGCAGCACCGATGCCTGGGGGGCTGCCTCGTGGGGTCCCATGTTCCCATCCCTGAGGCACAATCCCTTCTCCGTCGTGTTCTTCCTCCACAGCACCATCCCTGTGCCACGGTGTGATGGGGGAGTAGCTCCCTCCCAGCCCTATCCCAAAGCTGCATCAATTCTCTATGGCACTTCCCCACCATCCCATCCCTTCCCCTCAATCCTATCCCTTCCCTATGAAGGGATTCCTTTCCTTTTTGCATGATCACCCTTCCCCTCAATCCCATCCCTTCCCCAAGATACCCTTGTTTCCCACCTCTTCTCCACAATCCTATCCTTTTCTCATGATCCCATCCCTTCCCTGTGCCCACATCCCTCCCCCAGGTTCCAATCCCTTGCCTGTGCCCCTATTCCTCCCTCACACTCCCACCCCCTCCCTTAAATCCCACTCCTTCCCCATGACCCCATCCCATCCCCATCCAGTGATCCCACCCCTTTTCTGTGCCCCTTTCCTCACAATCCCATTCCCTCCCTGTACCCTCATCCCTTCCCCAGCATCCCCTTCCCATACCCCACACTTTAATTCTGAGTTAAATCCACAAACACTGATTCCTTTTCTCTTTTTTTTTTTTTTTCCTATGTTTTTGGGTTTGTTTTGGTTGTTTGGTTTTTTTTTTGCTTCAGTTTCTCATCATTGATAAAAACGCCGTCGCTGCCAAGGCCAGGAGGGGCCGTCCCCAGCCACGCTGGACCCACAGCTCCTTCTCCAGGCTGCCACAGAGTTGGGGACAGTGGGAAGGGGACAGGGAGGGGACAAGGGACCGCTGAACCTGCCTGGTGCTCACAGGGTGCCCAACGCCTATGTACAGGTGGAGCCGCCGGTGTTGCCCCGGCTCTGCCCTGCCCGGGGGGCTCAAAACCTGCTCGGCCCCTGCCCAGCCTTGCCTGGGGGCTCACTCAGTGCCCGGGGGGTCCCAGGGTGCCACCGCCACCGCTCAGTTTGTGTACACCTGAGTCCCGATCACACGCATGATCTCCTTCTGGATTTTGGGGTCCTGAGTATTGATATTGGCATCTCCCACTTGGCCATCTTCGTACCTGCAAGAGGAGAAGGGGCTCAGGGGGGTTCTGTGGGGGTCCCGCGCATGCGGCAGGGTGGGCACAGCCGGACTCACACAAAGAAGAAGCGTGTGCAGACGTGGTCCGAGACAGGGCAGACCCAGATGTTGCCGTGTTTCTGCAGGTCCTTGGAGGTGATCACTGCTGGGGCAAGGAGCTGTTGGAGGTGGCACAGGGGACAGAGGGCCTGTCCCTCCATCCCTCCACCCACCTGGTGACCCCAAGGGTGCTGTCTGTCCCCCCCCCATTATCCCCCCACATCCCCACACCTTCGCAAAGCGCGATGCAGTTCAGGTTGCGGCTCTGGAGGAAGCGGGACTGGATGGAGCGGGTCTGTGGGAAGAGCAGCTGGTGTTACCACCCTGTCCCAAACACCCATGGGTGCCATGTCCCCATTCCCATCCTGCCCCGGTGTCCCCTGGCCCATCACCTGGGGGATCGTGTTCATCCGGTTGTACCGCTGCACCAGCTCATCCTTCGACGGCATCCGGTGCTGCCCTTTCCCCATTCCTGTGGAAGAAGCAAGGCAGGGGCTGTCAGTCTCTCAGGGAACACCCTGGAGTGATGTGGGGACACATGCCACAGACAGGGATGGCCACCCTCAGTGCTCCTGAGCCCTGGGAACCCCCCAAAAGTGTGTGCAGCAGCTTCTGAAGCCTGGAGAATGCTGGGGGTTTGATTCTCTGGCGTGTGGGAAAGCCCCATCCTGGCTGGGAAAAGGCCGGTGTGATGGATGGATGTGGGATGCTGCCACTCCTGAGCAGCTTCTCCAGCCAGCACGATGCCAAACCTCCCCAGGCCCATGCAGGGAGTGGGAATGGGAGCACAGGCAGAACTGGGCAGCACAGGCAGGACTGGGCAGTGCAGGCAGCCTCTTACCTGAGTATCCAAAGGAAATACTGGAGATGGGGCTCAGATAGATGCCCTTGCCATAGGCTGCTCCATGCAGCTTGCGGGAAAATACCAGGGTGAGCGTGGTGGGATCACCCCAACAGTTCAGGCACGGCAGTAGTGGAGGAAGCCTGGCACTTCCCAATGTCTGCTCCCTCCCTGCCTTCCTGCCCCCTCCCTGCCCGCCTGCTGCCCTGGGTTGTGCTGGGTGCAGGGAGCAGACCGGTACCTGCAGTTTGGTGTAGGAGGCGTTGACCAGCCCGTTGCGGAGGATGGAATGCCAGTTCTCAATGTGAGAGCCACTGCAAAGAGCCAGCCCCACATCAGCCATCATCCCCCAGCCCCAGGGCGCCCACCCGGGGGGCTCCCACCATCCCTGCCTTGGGAACTCACTGGAAAGCGAAGGTGCTGCCGTAGAGTTTCTTGGCCGTGCGGAACCGAGCTTCCTTGGCCGGGGGGCTGCTGAGCAGGAGGAACTGGTGGGAGGTGTGCATGAACTTCAGCTGCTACCAGGGGAACGGGAAGAGCAGCGGCAGTGCCGGCAGGAGAGAGGACAGACAGACAGAGAGAGATCATGCACGGCCGCCTGGCCCTGGATCCAGCCCAGCCTGGCTTTGGTGACTCCAAGTTTGCCAGAAGGGTCCTTTGCATCCCTGTCTTGCCCCCATCCCACAGCCTGTGTAAAACATCCCCCTTCCTATATCCCTGTCCTGACTCCCATATCTCCCAGATTAGAACCCCACCCAGAGGGATCCATCCCACATACCAGACCCTTCCATTGCCCATCCCAGACCCTTCCATTGCCCATCCTGCATCCCATCTCCTGTATCCCTTCATTCCACCTCCCATATTCCATATCCTTTATCCTGCACCCCACCTGGAGCCTAGCCTGGCCCCTTACCCTGCTGAGAGGCAGCTTGACAATGTGGGATCTGTTGCTGGAGATTATCCTTGGGAAGAGAAGGAAGAGGAGGAGAGTCAGAGAAGGTGGTCCCAATCTGCCCCGAGATCATTAGATGCTCGTGACCCCCGCAAAAGAAAGGTGATGAGAGGGTTGTGCCCCAGATACCTGGCTGCCCCCCACTCCATCCCATGTCCTGGGGAATGTGGGGCAGTGGGACAGACAAGGGGCAGCAGGAGAGGGCCACAGCACCCTCAGCCTTACCACTGCAGGAGGGGATGTGCCAGGGGGTCCAGCTTGTCCATCTGCTTCTTGATCTCCAGGTAGGACCCCTGGCAGAGGCAAGATGGGGTGCAGGTGGGTCTCCCAGCACCCACCCAGCCATGGGCAGATGGAGATCAGCACCAAAATGCCACTCCCAGCTTGGATCCCACCCTGGGGATGTCACATGGGGCTGTGGGACCACGCCACGTACCTGGGTCATCTCCCGGATGGACATCACGCTGTCCAGGGCCTTCTGCAGCCGCTCATAGTTCTTCTTCTGCACATGGGGCAGGAGAGGAGTTGGCCATCAGAGGGGTCTTTGGGGCTTCCTGTCACCCCCTGGTGTGGGGGAGCATTGTCCCCCGAGTGCTTACCTTGGGGTTGAAGGCCAGAGTTTTGGGGTCGTTGGGGTCCACCACGGAGGGGTAAGGCTCGAAGATGATGCTCTTGCGAGGGGACTCGAGGGCAGCGCGGCACATGGCCACCAGCAGGTCCACCACCTTGGGGCAGAGCACGGACTGAAGGGACAGCCCAGCCCCCACGGGACAGGGGGAGGTCACCAGCGTGCCCAGCCCTACCTCGGCACCCGTGGCCACCTCCTCGGCCGCGCCGGACATGACGCCCAGCGTGTAGAAGGAGAAGACGCAGAGCTCCCGGGTGCACACGGCCGGCTGTGGAGGGGACAGGAGAGAGCTGAGTGTCAGGGATGGTGACACAGGGACACAGCCCGCACCTGGCCTGGCCCTGCCACCCCACCTTCAGCATGGAGCCGTTCTGGAAGACGTGCTGCTCGTCACACACCACGCAGTACTCGTTGAGCGTCGGGATCCGCTGCTCCGCGTACTTCATGATCTGAGGGGCAGGACGGAGGGAGTCAGGCCCTGCTGCAGGCATGGAGCTTGGGGGATGCTCCAGGCAGTGGGATGGGGATGAGTGGGGAGGATGATATGGGCAGTGGAGTGTGGATAAGTGGGATGTGGGGCACTGGGGAAGATGTTCTGGGCAATGGCACGGGGCTGAGTGCAATGTGGAACAGTGAGAAGGACACGCTGGGCATCAGGATAAGGATGAGCAGGACATGGGATAGTAGGGAGAATGCTCCAGATAGCAGGACATGGGTAAGTGGGAAGTGGGACAGGATGGGCTGCAGGCTGAGGATGAGCAGGATGCAGGACTCTCACCTGCACGAGGAAGCCGTACTCCAGCGTGGGGATGTTCTTGCAGTGGCCGCCGACCTGTGACGGAGCCAGAGTGGGGCCAGCTGCGTTATCCCCCTTCCCACACACAGCCCCAGCTCTGCGTGGCAAAGGCAGCCCCCAGCCCCCCCTGGTACAGCAGGACCCCCAACACACCAAAACCCTGGCACAGGAGAACTCCTGACATTCCAGTGTGCCCCAACACAGTGAGACCCCAAACATGCCAACCCCCTCCCAACACAGCAGGACCGCCAGCATCCCAACACCCCCAACACAGTGGGACCCTTGACATGCCAACACCCCCAACACAGTGGGACCCTTGACATGCCAACACCCCCGGCATAGAGGGACCCCCAACATGCCAACATTCCCTGCCACATCAGGACCCCCAACATGCCAACATTCCCTGCCACATCAGGACCCCCAACATGCCAACATGCCCTGCCACAGCAGGACCCCTAACATGCCAACATTCCCTGCCACAGCACAGATGCAGCACCAGGATTGGGGTAAAATTCCACTGGACCCCACAGCCAGGGCCCAGCTCCCCAAGATCACCCAAGACTGGAGACAAGAAACCCTGCAGGGGCTCTCCCCATCCCATGGGGGTCCCAGCACCCCAAAATAAATGATCAGACCCCAGAGGAGCCCCTGGGAAGGGGAAAGAAGAGAAAAGCAAACCCCAAGGCGGGGTGGCACCCACCAGGATGTTGAAGGGGGCAACACCTGCCTGGGTGCTGGCGGGTGGGTAGCCAAAAACTTCCACCTTGGGATTCTTCACCATGCAGGACACGGAGCGGTTCATCAGGCGGTTCACACGAGGCTCGGGGATGCCCAGTTTGCCCTTCAGCACTGAATCTTGGATAACAGGGAAGCTGGGAGACCTGCAGGCACAGAATCCCCCTGAGCACCTGTCTGTCACTGTTCCCTGCTCCTCCATCACCCAGTGCCGGATCCACCATCAGCCACTTGTTGGGAGCAACCTCCACCTGCCTGGGATCTGGTAGGGAGCAGCAGCATCCAAGTGGGGAAACTGAGGCACACTGCCAGGCCTCACCTAGGATGAGGGGATGGAGGGCTGGCCCCCTGTGGGGACAGCATTGGGACCTTACTTGGGGATGGGTGAGAAGATGCTGAGCCCAGCACGGAACTTCTTGATGGTGCCGCTTGTCTTGAACCAGCTGTGCCGCTTCTCCTGCTGGGTCTTCAGGAAATCGTTGCTGAGATGTTTCCATTGCTGGGATGTGAACATGCCCAGGATCCTGGCAAACAGGGAGGATAGCACCCATGGATGTTTGGTGGTCCATGACACCCCCAGCCCCTCCTCTTCCCCACACACAGATGGTTGTGAACCCGTCAGAGGATTCTGTGGTGTATAAAAGGAGGTGGCAAGGGCACATGTGGCACGTGGCCAGTTTTGGGGCAGAAAAGTGACTCTGTGAGCCCCCCCCCCCCCCCACCACCCTTGGTGCCCACCATGTTTCAGCTCTTACTTCTTCAGCTGCAGACCCAGCCCGAAGCCCTCCTTGTTGGACGGCTGGAAAACCTCGATGGACGGTTCTGTGGAGAGAGAGGAGGACGAGCCATGGGTGCTCCACTGTGCCTGTCCTGAGGGCACAGGGACCCCACTGCCCGCCCGTCCCCACTCACCGGGGCCATCGAGGTACTGGGAGAGGGAGAAGCGCAGGCGGAGGACGATGGGCTCCGTCCGCAGCACCTTCCACGCCGTCGCCACCTCCTCCTGCCAGGGCAGAGACACTTTGGCACAGCCACGGGAGCTCCACCCAGGCAGGGGCATTTGGGGACCCCCTGGGAGCCTGTGCCCACCCTCCCCATGCCAGCAGTGCTGGGGAAGCCCCAGGGACTCACATCGAGGAAGCTGATGTTCACATGGAGGTCGATGTCCACATCATCGATGGTCCCATACTCCCTGTGAGGACACATGTGGCTGTGGCATGGGGGGTGGCACAGTGCTGGAACAGTGGCCTGGTGCCCACCGTGCCAGGGTGGGCAGGCTCATGGGACAGGCACATGGCATGTGTGGCTGCCCACATATCAAGTGTATGCACGAGGGGAATGCCCAGAATGTGGATGTGAACCTGGGAATGTGACAGCACAGCCAGGTGCTCAGGGGATGGCATGGCCAGGTGTGCTAGGGGTGCCATGGCTGAGCGCCTTGGGAATGGCACAGCTGGATGCCTGGACATGCCAGGTGCCTTGGTAATGCCATAGTCAGGTGCCCCGAGGATGGCACAGCTGGTTATGCAAGGGTGCCACTACTGGGTGCCCTAAGATGTCATGGTCAGGTGCCTGGGAATGGCATGGCCAGCTGTGCTGGGGATGGCACTGCTGGATGCCTGAGGATGGCACAGCCAGGTAACCCAAGGGTGGTACTGCTGGGTGTCTGGTAATGCCATGGCCAGGTGACACAGCGATGCCACAGCTGAGTGCCCTGGATACAGCATAGCTGGGTGCCCAGGGATGGCACAGCTGGGTGTCTGAAGATGGCACAGATGAGTGCCTGGGGCTGCCACAGCTGGATGCTCCACAAATGCCATGTCTGGGTGCCCAAGGATAGCACAGCCAAGTGCTCAGGAGATGCTGAGGCCAGGGTCATGGGGAGGGTATGATTGAGCAATGGCTCAGCCAGGTGCCCTGGGGATGCCATGGTCAGGTGGCCCAGAGATGGCACAGCAGGATGCCTGGGCATGGCACAGCTGGGTACCTGGGGATAGCACAGCTGGGTACCCAGGGACAGCACAGCTGGGTACCCAGGCATGGCACAGCTGGGTACCTGGGGATAGCACAGCTGGGTACCCAGGGACAGCACAGCTGGGTACTCAGGCATGGCACAGCTGGGTACTCAGGCATGGCACAGCTGGGTACCTGGGGATAGCACAGCTGGGTACCCAGGGACAGCACAGCTGGGTACCCAGGGACAGCACAGCCATCCTGGCACAGCCCAGCTATGTAGCTGGGCCTGGCAGTGCCCGGTGCAGGGCAGCAGGGCACCCACCTGACGGCCACGGCATTCTCGCTGTAGATCTCCTTCACCGCCTCGATGTCGGCGTCCAGCTGCGGGTGCCGGTACAGGTCGGCGGCGCAGGTCCCCTGTGGCACAGCACTGTCACACCCAGAGCCTCCCCAGGCCTGGCAGAGGGCTCAGGATGGGGGTCCCTGAGCCCCCCGTGGCACCACGGGGACCCAGCACCCACCTGCACGCCATAGAGGAACTCCTCGGACTCATTGTCCCCGTCGGAGTCATCGTCCGTCCAGTACTGGCCCTTGAGGTCCTGGGGACAGAGGGGTGGGAGGCAGCAGGGACGGGGGAGAAGAGGGTTGGGGAGTGGATTGGGGGAGCACATTAACAGGGAGGGAATTAGGGGGGAGCAAACTGAGGGAGCTGGTTATGGGCAGAGGGTTGGGGCGGTGGATTTGGGGAAGCAGTTAGGGGGAGCAGTAGGATAGGGAGAATGATGGGGCTTGGGGGGAGTGTTTGGGGGCAGCAGGATGGGGATGTGGGCAGTGGGATGGGGGGAGCAGGATGGGAGGAATAATTTAGGGGGCAGTGGGATGGAGGAGCAGGTTGGGAGAGGGAGGATGGGGGGAGAAGATTAGAGGGGAGCAAGATGGAGACAGCAGGATGGACCAGCAGGACGAGGACACTGGAATGGGGGAACAGGATGAGAAGAGGATGGGGGAGCAAGATGGGAACAGAACGACGGGGAACCAATGTGGGGGAACAGGACGGGACAGCAGGATTAGGAAGCAGGATGGGAACAGCGGGATGGAGGACCAGGATGGGAACAGCGGGATGGAGGACCAGGATGGAGGAGCAGGACAGGCACTGCGCATGGAGCTGCCGGGGGATGCCCGGCCGATGGCGACGCGGGGGTCCCTCCTCCTGCTCCGGCCCCATCCCCGCCCCGAGCTGGGGGACCCCGGGACACGGGGGGACACCGAGGGCCGCGGCCCCTCCCCCGCCCCGGGCCGCCGCGGGCCTGTCCCGCCCCCTTGGCGGGCGCGCTCCCCCCTTGGCCGCGGCCGTGTCCCCGCGTCCCCTCCGCGTCCCGGCCCTCACCATGTCAGCGCGGGCCGGCCGGCGCGGGCACGGCCGCCATGCTGCCGGGGGGCCGCGCCTGACGTCAGAGCCGCCGCCCCGCGTCACCCCGCGGCGCCGCCATGACGTCACCGCCGGGGACCCCCCCCCCTCCCCCCGACACCCCCCGAACCGTGAGGGGCGGGGCAGCGCCGTGAGGGGACGCGGAGCCGGGCCCAGGGCCGGGTGTCCCTGTCCCAGCACAGGGGGTGCCCATGCCGGGTGTCCCTCACTGTGACCCCTCGATCCAATGCGGGTCTCGTGTCCCCAGCACAGGGTCACCATTTTGGGGCCCCTCCCTGTCACAGCCCTCCCGCAGCCCAACCCAGTGTCCCCAGCGTCCTCAGTGCAGGGTCCGCAGTGTTCCTAGCACAGTAATAGTATCCCCAGTGTCCCCAGTACAGAGTCCACAGTGTCTCCAGTGCAGCTCCCAGGCCCCCGGCACAGGGTGACCATTTTTGGTCCCTTCCATGTACCACAGGGTCCCCAGTGCACCCGGTGCAGGAGCCCTCTGTGGTCCCAGCAGACAGTGACCATTTTGGGTCCCCAGATGGCTGTCACAGTGTCCCTACAGTCCAGCACAGGGGCTGAGTGCCAGGTCCCTGTGCTAATGGCGTGTCCCCGGTGTCACCACGGTGCCAGTGTGGAGCCATGTGGAGTCATGGGTCACAGGCAAAAGGTCCCCATGGTTCTGGGATCATGTTCCCAATACCTCCAGCATGGGGTGCCCAGTATTACCAGCCAAAGGCCTTCGTAGGTCTGGCATACAGTGTCCATGTTGGGTCCCACACAGCTGGGACAGTGTCCCCTGTGGCCCCAGCATCTCCAGCCTGGTCTCTCCTTGACCCCAGCACAGTGTCCTCAGCACCCCCAGAACTAATTCCTTGGGTTTTAAGTTTTTCTGTTCTGTGTTGGTGTGCAGCTTTAGTTTGTTGTTGTTTTTTTTTTATTTTTTTTTTATTAAGTATTTTTTATATTAAGTATTCCTAGGATCTTTTCACGGTAGTGGAGACAAAACAATCCTGTTATAGCTGGAGACTCAAGGACAATCTCTTCAAACTTCAGGCCCAAAGCACACGCATTGTGAAAAGAGGAGGGTGGGCAAGCAACCAAGGAGGATGAAACTTCATAATTTGAAGCTATTAACTGGATAGTTAACTCCTATATACAAAAGGACTAAAACTTATAAAAGTGTGAGATCTCATGACCAAGCCCTCCTTTGCTTGCATCTTGGAGCCGTCCAGACAGAGCCACGACTGTGGCTCATGTATTGCTAGGGTGTGGCCTTTGAAGGCACTTCAATAAAAATCCACTTTATTCCTCTTAACTCTGTCTAGCCTCTGCTCCAGCTCCTTAGAACATCAGCACCATGCCACCAACATCTCCAGTCCTGTGTCCCCAGTACTGTGTCCTTGTAGCTGCACACAGAGATTCCACACTGGTCCCCAGTGTCCCCATTGGGGGGTCTCAGGAGCTTCCGAAGCACCCCAAAACACGGAGCCGCTGCCCCCGCAGAGTGAGGGACTCCTCAGGTGTGAGCTGGAGGCTCGATGTGAGTTGGGGGTGCCAGTGTGAGTTGGAGGGCTCGGTGTGAGCTGGGGGTGTCAGTGTGAGTTGGGGGGCTCGGTGCCAGTTGGGGGGGGCTCGGTATGAATTTGGGGTCGCGGCCCCTTTAAGGCGGCGAGCACTCTCCGTCCTCGCACGCGGCGGCTGCGCCGCCTCCTCATTGGCCGGCCGAGCGCGTGCTGTGACTCAGAGCCTCCCCCTGCTGGTTTGTGCGTCCGCTCCTGAAAGTAGCTCCGGCGCCCCGCCCTTGCCGAGCGGGCTCCGGCCCCGGCAGGGCGGCCGGCGGAGGGATATGAGGGGGGCGGTGCTTCGACCAGCCGGGATTACTTTGACGGAGCGTGTGGGGGCGGCGCTCAGAGCGGCGGCGGCGCTCAGAGTGAAAGGACGTGGTAGCGGCGTGACTCAACGGCGGTAGGTAACGGCGCCCTGAGGGGTTGCGAGCGGTGGGGCCGGTCGCGCCGGTACCGCCGTTATGCCCATATTTCCGCCGCCGGGAGAAGGTCCCACCGGGCGGCGGTTGAGGGGAGGGGGCGCGCGCCCTACGGGACGGTTGAAGAGGGGGCGCGCGGGGGGCTCGCGGCGCCTAGCACGTGGCTGCCGGCATCCCCGGCCCCGCGTCCCCATCTCTGCCTCCTCGAGCATCCCCCCGAGATCCCGTACCGGGAAACGCCCTTTCCGAGCATCCCCCCGTGACCCGGCACTGGGGAGCGCCCGCTCCGAGCATCCCTTCCTATCCCGCGCCGGGGACCGCCCGCTCCAAGCATCTCCCCACGGCCCACACCGGGAAACGGCCGCTCCGCGCACGGGGAGGGCGGCGGCGGGGGTCCGGTCTGGGGTGCGAGGGCTCGGGTGAATGAAGCGGGGCACGCAGGAGCGGGGAGCCCCGCGTGGGCCCGGCGGCCGTGCCGTTAAACGGAGCGCAGGGCGCCGCTGCGGCTGCCGCCCGGGCCGGGCAGTGCGGGAGGAGCTGCTGCGAGGCTGAGTCAGAGGCAGACGGAGTGAGGCGCTGGGCCGCCTCCCCCCCCCGTGCCCGCACTCACGTAAGAGCCGGCAGTTCCCCAAAGGGCATCAGCTTAAATCAGCGCCCGGCTCACTGCACCCACCACTGATGCTGCAGCCTCTTCCCGACCCCCCCGAGAAGAGAAGGCCCCTTCTGAATTTATCTTCTCCCGTAATTGTGCCGGCTTAAACACATCCAATTGATTTAGATCGTTTTCTTGAACTGTGAAAACCTTTCAAACGTGTTTAAACCCCCTTTGCAGAGTTACCAAGGCATGAATAGCGCTTTTGTCGGCGGACAATGGCAACCTCCCGACTGTCTCCTCAGACTACTAAAAGTAGACGGCAATCTCTGAAAACGTGCTTTTGTTCTGACAAGGCAGTTCGGTATCAGAGAGGCCCAGGTTAACAAAAAAAAAAAATCATTTTTTTGTGAAGGTTTTTGTCACGTTAAACTGTTAAATTTCCTGCTGCTCATCGTGACTTGCCTTGGCTCAAAGGTGCAATGACAAATTTTTGGTTACTCAGACACTTGTGCAATTCGAAGTGCTTAATTAAAAAACCAAAACAAACAAAAAAAAACCAACCAAAAAACCCACTAAAGAGTGTAATTTTATGCCTGCTTATGGAGCAGAATTCTGGCCAATACAAGGCGTTCGATGGGTTAATGGTCTGTACTGGTGCCAGCAGGTTTCCAGCCCATCACCGGATTAAGCAGAAGGTTTTTGTGCTAGGCAGGAAGCGCTGCTGTGAGCCACGTGCTTGAACCGGGGACTTCTGCCTGTGAAACCCTTCTGAGAAACTTCACTTGCACTAGATAAAGAGCTTGGAGAGTCTGCAGCAGCCTGCGGTGTTTTTTTTTTTTTTTTTTTCTTTTTTCTTTTTTTTTTTTTAAATTACGTACTGTTTTATATATCTAAAGCTGTTATTAAAACCTTTATTTATTTATTGCTGTTAGCCGTAGTGATCCACCGCCGGCCTTAATTCCCTTTCCACCCAACAAGTTGATAATTTAATTTAAAGGGAATAAGAGGTTTCCCAGGCTGGCTGGAGCACGTGCTCTGTCCTTTATCTCCCTCCTGGCCGTTGTTCTCCCGGGGGAAGATGGAGCCGCAGCGGGTGGTGATGGATGGCACGTAGGGAATGGGGCTGCAGTACCGGGGCGCTGCCACGTGCAGCGATCTCCATCCTGGAATGGGGATGCAGTGCAGTCAGTGGTCTACATTTCTGCCTAGTTCAATGTGAAAAGAAAAAAAGCTTTATTTTAACCTGTGAAGCAGGTTTTTAAAGCTTGCCTGAAGGCAGCCAGGTGCTTTTTGCCAAGCTGAAGGGCTCCTTGTCCTCTGCAAGGTTAAGCCTGTAGGTGTGTCCTACAAATACCCTCGAGATCAGATAAGTCTTTCTCGTCACCAAACATCCGATGCTTGCCACCTCCTCTTATTTTTTTTAGTTAAGCTTTCCAGGGAGGGCAGCTCAGCAGAGGCTCAGCTGAGCCAGCAGCACACGGGGAAGGTGCCAGACCCAGCCTGATCTTCCTGTTCCCCTTAGCCAAAAAGCTGGAAAGGCATCTCCGTGGTGGGTCTCTCCTCCCGTGGATCTGCAGCTCAATGCTGGGGAGAGCATCGGCCAGCCAGGAGCAGGTGGTGGCTCCTGGGTTCCATCCAGGCTTGCAGAAAAGGGGTGGAATTTTGGGGTGGCCATTTTGTCCTTACGTAACGGCGAGACACCACCTCCAGCACCAGCTGCCTGGCAGGAATGTGCTGTCCTCCCTCCCTGGGAGAGGGGATGCCAGGCCAGGGTAAAAACCTGCTGCTCTGCAGAGCTGCATTTCTCTGTTGTTGAGTGCCTTCAGCTTCTGGAATGAGCAAAGCTGATGTTTTTCTAGGCGTCTTTTGGGAATCTGAAGGCCTGCCTGGTTTCATAACCCTGCCCTGAGCACTAACTCGAACCATTTCTGCCTCTGGGCAGGGTCACTGGGCATGAGCAGCCTTGTTCTGCAGCATCCGTGAGGTTGTGTAAGTGAGGCTGACTAGTAAATCCCGAATCATCGCCCCCTGGGAGCCTCCTGGCTGGAGCTCCTGCAGGCAGTGACACAGCTCTGGCTGTGGCCTGGGGACAGCCCCTGCTGCAGTTTCTACTTCCCTTTGTCGCCAGTAACAGCAAAGACTTGGCCCTGGGTGGGGATTGCCTGGGCGGGGATTGCTGCTCCCTCTCCTTTCTCCATCCCCAAGGGGCATATCCGGAGTGACCGTGATTTCAGGCTTTCTCTCATCTGACCCATGGGATGGGCTGGCTGGAGTTACTCACCTGGCTACAGTAAAAACCAGTCCCAACCTCAGATGGCTCAGTCTGGAATATTCTGGAGCTGTGGAGATACCAGAGATCACTGGGACACCCTGCCTGAAGCATGGGCAGGCCAAGTAA